ATACTGGCAACAACGCGATATGTAGCGCAGGTATGGTAGTGTTGTCCGTTCAAGAACTCACCACAATCCTAAATGTGGGAGGGCGAGCGTGTAACGAAAAGCGGGTCTATTAAGGTTCCGTATTTTGTATCTTTTATATAAGAAGAAGTGGCATACCGTTATAAGCGTCGAACAGTAGTGAATGAGTGAGTATGGGCGTGCGATGTTCGTTGTCCGCAGAATGCACATAGGTAATTATTCGGTTCGTCTCTGTAAGTATCAATGACGCGTTCAAAAAATAAATATACGAAGCCGTTCTAAGAAAATCAACGAAACTACCTCCTTTCAACTTCTTAGAACAGTGTTATCAAAGGGGCTAAAAGCGGAAAGGCTCAACACGGCTCAAGCCGTGGCAAGCCTTCATTTGTTCGTGAGAATTGTGAAAACCTCGTCAAAAACTACCCCTGTACTCTAACAAGTTCTACTCCCACGACGGCTCCTTCCGCGAGTTCCAAACGACTGCTTTGCCACAATCACAAAACCTAAAGACCTGAAATAAGACCTAGTCCCCATTCAGAAATTTCATACACAACTCCATCCATTGGGCTCTGCTGGCTTTGGTTAGCGGACGGTTGACCTTCGTGGCATGGCGATCAAAAAAATTTTTACGAAGGAAGATAACGCTCACTCGAATCAGCGATTGGATCCAGGTACGGGTAGTCCGAGGCGACATCGGTAGTGAAGCCGACGATCACCTGTAGACTGCTCTGCACTTGAACATTCACCGAGCAGATCTCTGGTTGACCATTTGTTGGACTGACGGAAATGCTCATACTCCATTTTCCGGGTGGTAGATCCTCTAGAACAATCATTTCATGAACAAACTCAAGATGACTCGAAGTAACTGTTTTATTCTCAGTGGGTGCCCCAAGGAACCAGGCTTTTCAAAGGAAAACCAGGTATTTCCAAGGAGAACCGGGAAACTTTGGGGGATACCTCTCTTCGAAAAGCCGCCGCCGTGCCCTCCGTGTCCGTAGGGCACCGAGGCAGTGACGGAAAGGTCAGTCACTGCTTCGGTGCCTCAAGGAACCAGGCTTTTCTTAGGGAAACTAGGTCTTTTAAAGGAAAGCCAGGTCTTTCCAAGGGAAAACCGGGAATTACTAATTGCGCCGGCGAGGTGCAGCTTTCCCAGTTCCGCGGCGTGCTCACAGCAGGCAGCGTTCACTCCAAACAAAATCTATTTATTCCATATACAAATTCAAGGTTCTTATAGAAACCTACGTCGGTGGCGACGTCAAGGGGCAAACTAAAGGCAGCGCTTGACCGACATTTTTTGCAAAGCGGCTGGCTGCGAATTCGCCGAACAAGCGCTTCATGTACCTCGGGTGTATCCAGAGAAATATAGTAGTAACAAAAGTTAATAACAATAATACCGTCTCCAATGACGCTCGGAGGATGATCTTCGTCGTACTGATGCCTTTGACACGTGAATGGAGTCCGTACGCAGGCGCCGAGCGTCCTGAGAAAAAAACACTGATTAGAGAAGTTATGCCGCGTAAAGAATAGGTATTGATCGGGTAGGCTGTAACCTACCACGTGTTTTGATCAGTCGCCAGGCCGTTCCAAAATACGCAAGCAGCTTTGGGATCATACGGTGGTGCATCACCACCTCCTTTCCAGTACTGCTGATCTTGATTTAACTGGAAAGTGGTGAGTATGAATATTTTCAAACTGTGCTGAGTAATCTAGTCAGATACCGGTAGAGGATTGATGCCATTTGGACGATCCCAGACGTAGGTGGTTCCATTATTGTCAATCCCATCCAGAAGCTGTAACCATGTGCCATAGCTAAAGGCAGGAAAATCAAATGAAATAGAAAATCTAGCCCGATTTCAAGCCCGAGAGTCATACTCACTTACAGAAGAGTAAAGAACATATTTCTATCATAGTCCAAAGCGCTCGCCTAGATAGAGTAAAGCCCATGGCATGTTCTTTTCAAATGATTACTTACGGAATTACGGAAAAGGCTAATAGTTAGGAATATGAGTAGTATACACAACTATTAGGACTTTTTCCTAATTTTAAGCGCGGACGTGGTAAGAGTGACTTTGTCCGATATCCCTATGCACCAGGGCGACCAATTGTAGTACGTACTGGGACTCATGACCGTCTTTCTGCTGAGCGTAGCCAAAGCAATGAGTTTTTGGTAAGGTAGAGTCCCTCAATAAGTCATATCAATGATTCCCTATACTTTGTTTATGGTAAGGTAATATGACGCTCACAGTACTTCGAGGCCTATTATGCCTAGGCGTGAAGCTAACAGAAAAACCACAACAGTTTTTGCAGCGAGTAATTTTGAAAGCGTCCGAGGTGTCTTTCTAGGACTAGCGGATCGGAACCGTAAACGTGACGGCACTGATTTGGTAGCAAATTATATTATAGTAATGTGGTCAGACTCAGAAAGAGTACGCTATGCGCATTCTCATTCCACCATTCTTTTATTTTCGTATTTTTTGCCATTGTATCTTTTTCAGTTCTGTGAAGTATTGTGACCAGGCAGTGTGGAAGGAGTTGAGGTGCTTGGTTGCATCAGAATGCCTCAAGGCTGTAATACACTTGGCACCGCATTTACCCAACTTACTGCCTGGAACCCGCTCGACTACCCACCTTTCTAAGCACTGTGGTTAGGTTCTCAACATGCCTCCGCTGAGGAAAAAGAATCATGATCTTCCCCCACAAAATTGCAGCGCCTTCAATGCGACACCGAGCCACATACATCAAGTAGTGCACACCTGGTCTCAAAACGGGCGACCGAGCAAAGTGGGCCGTTAAAGGCAAGATTCAGGATTAAATTGATGAGGTAATTCCACTCAAATGTGAAAGTAGGGGTAGGAGGTGGACCGCCAGTGAGAAAAAAGGAAAAAAATCGTGAAATACAGGAAATACGAGCCTTTTGCTCTACGCTGCGGAGAAGTTCAAAAGGCCGGCAGGGAGATGAGAGATAATGTGAGCGCGGAGAGCGCTAGAGAAGTACGAGTAGAGAGAGCATAGCAGATCAAGTTAGCGACGCAGACAAGATATCGAGCGGTGGGCGGAGCGTGTGCAACTGGGTGAGTGTGTCAAAGTTCTTAGCGCCTAGCGTCTAAGTAACGCTTTTCGAAGTAGGGAAGTGAAGCGACCTCTGCACTTGCGTACCTAGCGCTTCTAGCCACAGTAAAGGCTCACTAAGTGGGTCTGAGCCCGAACTTTGCCTTTAAGCGAGTGATGATAATGCTCAATAATTCCTTTTCGTGAACAAAACGTAATGTGTTTAAATGTTGTTTAATAATATTTTTAATGTACAATACATCAGCCATTCCCACCCATAAGAAATTACTTATACTACTATACTGTACTATATACTGTACTATACTGTACTATATTACAAGGCTTCAATACGTATTTCTGACCATTTAGTTCCCATTCCTTTTTTTATTTTTTTTTCGGTGTTTTTTCGTTTCTTCCTGACGCCTCCCAGTTTTATCCACGAAGATCACATTCCAGGTTTCTGATCTGTACTGTGTCAAACAAAAGCTGAAAGAATGTTGAATGAACTAACTATCCAAAAACTGATGCTTTCCATCGTTTCAAGTCGTCGGCGAGACTTCACCAGCTGCATGGCAATGAGCTTGTGCATCTGTGTAGTTCTTCTTCTTAGCGACAAACTGGACACAATACTGTCCAATCTTTTCCCATCCGCTATCGCATGCTAAAGTGATAACCACGCTTGTACAGCCATAACAAGTGTTACTGTTGCTTGACGGACAATACCTTTTCGGATCTCGACGATATCCCAACCAGAGTACGCATCCTTTACCAGGCTGAAAACTTCCACTTCAACACCTGAAAAGTACGGATGATGGCAACTATCGAATCAATCTATAAAAAATATGAACTAAAACAATACATAATAAATAATATGTCGCAAAAATATACCATTTGCGTCATAGATGTGAACTGTCTTCTGATAACCGAAAGCGATAATTTGAATTGTTTGTGTGTATGCATCGATAGGGAAGTAGACCTGCAATATCAGGAGTACTCTTGGCTACTTGTGGTCTTTACAGTTCCGTATCTGAGAGCTTAGTTTTGGTAAACCAGTAACGTTCATGTGTTGTTTTCGAACGAGTTCAATTCAATAAGAAGGCAGATAGAATTCTAGAGAGGTAGTACATGCAAAACTAATCGGGTGGTAAAGCACGATCGACAACACGGGCTAGCGCTGCGAAATTGCCTGCCAGTGCTGGATTTTTCGCCTTTCGAAAATTTGGCTTATCTCTCCCATTGGCTCCCTGAGGTTGGGGAGTGAGAGTTCGGGGAAAAATTGTGTACGCGTCTCGAATCCCCTCCCCTTCAAGGTGCCCTATCGATTTCTCACTAGCATCTTCGTGACGCCAGTTGAGCCTGCTAGCCGTAGTCCAAAACCGAGCGTACTAACCATCTGAGCCGTGCTACTCCAGGAACCACCATGGTAATTCAAGGTTGGGAAGATTTTGATTTTTTTTATTTAATAATCTGTTTGACGAAAAAGAAATAACAGCGGGTACATGCAACTTTCTGGCCTCTGTTTGTGGCTAGATTGGCTACCCAGCTGAGGCTGGTCACAGATCACTTGTATGATGACGGAGTCCACATAAATTAGTGCTTGTCAAAATAGAAGCAGAGCGTCTTCCTGCAGTGAGAAATTCCAGTCACCCGCTTTCAAGAATTTGAGCAATCGCTGTTTTAAGAAAAACGGTCGAACCAGAGCAGATGGAACCAATCGCTTCCAGGATTTGATCGCTGCAGACGTTCGATAATATCAACCTTTGCAAAAGGTCAGCAGGGGTATTTAAGCGCTCGCCTACTGGGTCCTTTTTATTTAACGTGTTCCATCTTTTAGGACCGTTCTGTCTTCCTCTTTGTTCGTCCTTTGGTTACTGTAGCTTCTTTGGACTAGTTTTTACTCAACACCCTTGTCATAATTTTTACAGAGTCACAAAATGCACAGCAGCCATCTGATTTTTTTCGTGGTGATTTCTCTGCTGCCTATTTATGAAGCATACCCTTATCCATACCCGTACTATCCGATAATGGAAGAGGGTGGCCCAATGATGGGACCGCCTGGTCCTCCGATGGTACCGCCAGGTCCTCCGATGGGGCCAGACCGATTTGGTGGAGCGCAGGGGGTGCCCGGAGTGCGAGATATTGGTCCTGTGGGCCCTCAGAGTGGTTTCTAGGGACTAATATAAAGTGGAAAAGAAACACATGTTCGAATAGAATGTTCTTTTTAGATCTATATTGCCGTCAAGACTCCGTGGAGGAGAGGGTATCGGTGGTCTTGCTTGGGAGAAGTGATCGGGTCCTTGGGAATGATGTCGCGGAGAATACTGTCATTGTTCAATCTCATTGACGAAACGAACCTACACCTACAATGGAGTCTAGAATCATTCAGTGTTTCATTAATTAGACTTTTGAGCTCATATAACTTGGCTTTTTACAACTATATTGCGTTCTATAGATATTATAGTATTCTACCGAAATATCACTGGTGTTGTTACGCAGAAAATTATTTATTTTGCAGTCAGTCAATAAAATATGTCTACTATCGCTTTCACAGCAGACCCAGATCGCTTCGTGCACTAAAATTTAATCGAGCGATGGGTCATCCTTGATGGCCTTCTAATGAGGGGTATTTTAGAACATTTAAGCCTCATAAGTTCTCCCGAGTGGAAAAGATCGTGGCTCTTTCCCAAGCAGGGGGATCGTGGTCACGGGGTGGAGCTGGCAGATCTCGATCTCCTGCCATCATCCATGTATTATGTGGCTGTGTCGAACTCTGGTCTGGTCTGGGTGGGAAAGGTCCGAACTGCTTTTAAATTTCGAATTTCTGCGGATCTTACACGATCCTATCTTTGTGCCAGTGGCCTTCTCTCCTTTTTCCTCTTCTGGCCAGGGTGTGCCAAAAACATAGGTGGAAATTGGGGGGGGGGGAGTCCATTGAAGCATATCCAACCTAAGGATACTCCTGGCCGTCTTTATTGAGCAGCTCTCTAAAGATTCTCACAGAAGGGGGGATACTTCATCATATAGAATATATATGGCAGGATATGGCTATCATATGACCCGTGCGCGACACATTTCGCCAACCGAAACTACATCCCTTAGGATATGACCGATGGCCATTGGTGTGGCCTACATATAGCCCAGACGAATCGGCCAAATCCTGCCCACAATTTCAATGGCCAAACCAGCATCATTCACCCTGGAGCTTCCCCACCTTAAGCCGAGACAAATCTCAGCATTCCCCTGAATCAGAACCGTTTCCTTAGACCACTGCAGGCCGAATAGGACTTCAGTAGTAGTCCTACACTACACTGGGACTTTTCACAATGCTTTTTGATCGATTACTTTCGAGCGCTCTCATTTTTATTCTGAGGATTGAAGAACGGGATGAAATGGCCCTCCTATCGGATTTTCACCCAAGGAACTCATGTTAAATATCCCACATAATTCCGTGTTCAAATTGATCAAGAGTTGGGCCAGCTAGCACAGGTGGGGGTGGATTTGCCTGTATTCGAGCGTCACCTTTTGTAAGTATTTTCTCAGGCAGTGGGCAGGTATTTATTAATCGTCTTGTTTCGCCGTATAATTTGTGTTACTCCAGACCGTTCTCGGCTTGTACATCCCTATTGCGTGACAGATTAATTGCTCTCACCTGGGCTTCCTTGGACTATTTTACTTGCCATTAGCCTCAATAACGACTTCAATTCTAGCGATTTCAGAGCTTCGAATAATGTCATATAAAAGCATTGTGGTCATTTTTCTTGTGTTGGCACTGCTGGCATTCAGTGAGGTGTTCCCATACCCTCATGTCAGAGAGCATATAGCGATACATTCGAGTGAGAGTGAAGGTGAGTTAGGGTTTGACATCGATGCTCACGGATTATCCCTTGATTGCGCCAATTTCAGAGGAATTCGAGGACACGCTGACAGACAAGGTATTCGGTGGGATTTTCGACTCTGTGTTCGGTGCTGCCCTACAATAGATCAGTCTATAGGTTGTCAATAAAACACTTCGATCAGCTATCACTTTCCATTGCATTATTCAAATTGTTCCTCTCTCTATTTTAAAGATGCTGTTTAACTCGAATACCACGCGGCAGTGATACCTCTTATGACCTGAATAGAGTTAATCGAAACAAAAAGAGCTAACACTGGTGAATTTTATGGCAACTCATTGTCATATTTTACCATTCCTTAATTTACAACAGATCAAGTCCTAGGATTTTGGATCCATTTTCTGATAGATCATCGTGTTTTGTTACATGTCATAACAAATCGCATTATGTGTTTGATCGATATTGTAAAGATAGTGCACTTACTTAAGTCGGCTAAGTTATTTTTGTTTATTCAAATTGAAACAATAAATGTATTATTGACGTCTTTGTACGCATACCAGTGAAAAAGCGTGCCCGGTAGGGCCGTGATCTCGCGCACTGAAGGGGAAGGGAAAGAGGGCTCCTTAAAGGAAGCGATTACGATAAAGAGGGAGCGCATCGGGGAAGCATGTGCACCACACGAATCAGTTACTTGGCTGCCAGGGAAGCGAGATGTGGCGCTTTCACAACGAAAGGTGCGCTGGTTGCTGAGCAGGACTTCGAAAGCGCTCCGCCCCCAAAAGCGATCCGCCCACTAGTTTACTTGTTGATTTGGACGAGCTGCGTGCCAGCAGCGGCACAAATGGAGCATCTCGATTAAAGCGTTTGGCATGGTGCCATCAAACGCGTTGCGGTGAACTCGTTCATACGTCCACTTTCTGAGCTGTTACCTGTTCATGAGTGAAAAAGACCTCGGCCAAAAAAGGAGGTCCCGTTTTGCGTTTCCTTGACGGATTTTTCTGCTTTTTTCGCTACCGGCGTACCATTAAGCACCACCACGTCACACTAAACCCTTCTTGAATTGGGGACATTAGACGAGAGTTGAATGTATCATGAAGTGGACTTTTTGAAGTAAGCGCTTCCATAGCTCTGGATACAGTTGCGACCAATTGTGATTTGTCGCTCAACCTGGCAAGATTACCCGTGGGTTGGAATTCTTTACCCACCACGACTTACCTACCATTTCGCTACTACCGGCCTACAAATGAACAACGGTTTGTGAAGTTGGGCCAAGGGGTGCACACATTTCAAGTACGAGTTCACACAACGTTAGCATAGCTCAAGCTTCACCCAGGTACTCAATTGTAGGAAGCTCAGGCGGGCGCTATCATTCTCCAATCGGAGTCGTTCAGTCCGCGAGGGTAGATCGCGCTGCGCTGTAAGCTTTTGCATTCCTACCAGCTCGGACTAACAGGTGGCCCATCAATGCCGACATTTTTAACGGTTAGTCTTAAGGTTTCTATGGCATTCGCCTTAGTAGGCCTACGATCCTGTTGAGTGACTTCTGTAGATTGAAATAGTGTTTGAACGGGTAGCTTCTCAAATGTCTTTTGTCCTTCCAGGCTCCGAAGAAGGCGATAACGCCGAAACGTCAGCCGAATAAAGTGTTATTAACAATCTCAGTTACAAGCTGAATTATCTACATCTATGCTGAAAAGCAAGTAATAGCTCCCGATAAGGTGGGA